CCATCTTAGCTTTAGCTTCTTTACAGGTGTTAGCTTCCTGCCATCTTAGCTTTAACTTGATTATAGGTGTTAGCTTCCTGCTTTTATAGCTTCAGTCGTTTATGAGTGCTATCTTCCTGTTATCTTGTTTACAGCTGTTAGCTTTGTGCTATCTTAGCTGTAGCTTTTTTATGAGTGTTAGGCTCCTGCAGTAGGTTGCACTAGCACAAGCACAAGTCAGAACGTAGCCTACGGCGGACGTAAACTGGCCCTACAATCGAATTTACAAACTACTAAAAAATAACCAGTTACACAAAGCAAATAGTTTCAATGTAACACTAAGTTATAATGTAAATGTTACACTTCCTTATGAGGTATAAGGTCCATCATAATAAAAAAAGAAATGAAGTGGTGAAAATGGCACAGATGTAACTAACCTTTTCTTTTTGTAAAAACTTTTTTGCTTTTAACATGTAATAGTGTAGCGTTATCAGACATTTTAATAACTTGTAACCTTTTCTGCTGGTTGATATGTCAGCAAACGTTAGCTGGAAAGCTAGAAAAATACATTGCCTTTTCCATTTTTTGTTTCGTGTGCACCATGTTTGTACTCCTTGTCGCATATCAACTGTCAAGCACTTGCAATAAATGTCTATCTAACTGACCACAAATTTGATAAATATACTAGTGGTATAACAGACCTTAGCTGATCTGTGATCTGTATTGATCCCACCCCCGTGAACCATGGATGAACTGCAAAGTTTAATCTTGATAGTGTGAAATAGTTTTAACTTTTTGAAGTTAAAATGTTAAAATAATTTCTCAAAATGTGGGAGAATTCTCCACTTATATGTAAGATATGGGGGAATTTTAGATTTTCTGTGGGAATGCAATAACAATAATAACTGCACAAATCCAATAGCATTAACCATGGAATCTGCTTCCTTCCTTCTCATGATAAATTCTGTCCGTATGTCTAATTACAACCTGTTTTCCCTAGATAACTCGATCTGAAGAAAAAAAATGGCTATGTTGAGATCACAAAAAATATGTCTTGACATAAGTCAAAAAAAGATAATGATGTCCTCTATGAACTTCTGTACAATGCAGAGATGCAGTGAAAAAACACAGACAAAGCAGTAGTGTGTTCGTGTGACCATGGCATGTTAAAATTTCCTTGCTTTGAGTTTTCTTTGTTCTATCTTGCTTTTTCTTTTTTTTTTTGGTTACCAAAAAATTTTCCAATCCATCACTCAAATATCGTGATGGAAGCCAAACTGTGAGTTTTCTGATCCGTTGCATCTCTAAACCATGTACAGCAAGCTAGCTAACGAACGGACTCCTTACATAGCCCAGTACACAGCACGTTACAGGTTATTTTTGCAGTTTTGTTTTATTGGGGTATCCCAAATACAGAGAAAACAAGGTGATAGCCAAGTATAACTCAAACTCAACAAACGTGGAACAGCGAGTTGGTTCCAGTGATATCAGACAATGATATTGATTGGTTATCCACAGTGAAAATATCATTTTGTGTGACAATTTTTTGATTTAGAAGCTACTAACTATGAAGTAAATTAAGTAGCAGTGGTGCAACAGACAAAGAAGCAGAGCTAGTTTAAAACTAGATTATTTCAATATATGATTTAAGATACTTCACACCCAACCTTACAATCAAACTTAGCTGGTACAACAGACTACTGCTGTTATAGCTTTACTTGTTCACAGCTGTTAGCTTCATGCTATTTTAGCTACAAGTGTTAGCTTTCTGTTTTCTCAGGTTTAGCATGTGTACAGATGATAGCATTCTGCTATCTCAGGTTTAGCATGTTTACAGGTGATAGCATTCTGCTGCCTCAGGTTTGGCATGTTTACAGGTGATATCATTCTGCTATCTCAGGGTTAGCATGTTTACAGGTGATAGCAGTCTGCTGCCTCAGGTTTAGCATGTTTACAGGTGATAGCATTCTGCTGCCTCAGGTTTAGCATGTGTACAGATGATAGCATTCTGCTATCTCAGGTTTAGCATGTTTACAGGTGATAGCATTCTGCTGCCTCAGGTTTGGCATGTTTACAGGTGATATCATTCTGCTGCCTCAGGTTTAGCATGTTTACAGGTGATAGCATTCTGCTGCCTCAGGTTTG